AAACAAAAGAAGGAAGAAAAAAAAGTAACAAGCAAATCGAAACAAAAAGGAAAAAAAATCAAACAAAAGTACAAGACGCAAAACCGAACGTGAAAAAAAAAAACCAGTATCAAGCATAGACAAGCATTAAGCACAAATACAAAATCGAACAAGAAAAAAAATATAATAAGCATAGATGTAAAACGTAAATAAGATAAAAAAAGAACAAATAATCTGAAAGCATACATATATATACACATATATAAATTCTAAATAAAGAATTATTAAACTTAACAAAGGTATTAAAGCATACCAAAAATAATGAAAATTTATACAACAAACATGAAATCAAATATAAAATTAAATTGATAAGTGATACTAACATGTATCTCACTGAAAAAATTTATATTAAAAAAAGTATTTTTATGAGTGCATGAGATAAGATAGAGAATAAAACCTTAATTATAGCAAAATATAAAATGAGTTTATTTATTAAATGGGGTGTATGTAGGATGGGTGGTGCTTAGTTACTAGGGTAATTTGGAAGTTGGTACAATTTTTTAAACTTAATTGACCAAAAATATAACATAAAATCTTATTTGGGCTAAAGTGTATATTTTTCGAAAATGACAATATTGTCATTCGGTAAACAGCTGAAGGGTTAAAACCCTTTGTATTCCTTCCATATATTTTGGCTACATTCAAGTAATGGGAGGTAAAATATGGACATTAAAATCAAAGCTCTTCTTCTTTAGCAACAGGATTCTCTGACAATGAGATTTGATTAGAATGCCACAAATTATATGAGAATAAACATTGAATTTTTCCAAAAAAAAAAACGAAGAGGAATACGATAATGAAAATCCGACGATTTTGTTGTCCAATACCTATTCATCGTCGACGGGCACTTCTTCACCAAAAATTGCAATTGACATTCGAGTTTTGTTTTTTGTATTTTATTATTATTTAGTTCTTTTTTTTTATTTTTTTGCGCAAAACTGTGTAATTTGCTTCTGAAAAAAAAATCATAAAACCCTATTTTTGTAGATGAGAGTAAGAAATTATAGTTCTATAATTAATGAATGAGTAATTATAAAAGTGAAATTATCTGCAGATGAAAAATTTAAACATTTTCAAATAGAATTTTTTTTTGAAAGTAACTGTGTTAAGTAACTATTTGGGATTCAAAGTATGTCATTTAGTTTTTCTATTTGTAGTAACTGCTATGAATATCGCCTTCTATTTGTGGTTACTACTGTGGAGATATCATTATTTTTTTTCAGATCTCTGATTTTTTTTATTTGTAAAACTAAAAACATAATTATAAAACCCTAATTTCATAGATGAAACTAAATAAGTCGAAGTCTTTTATATTGATTGAGTAATTCAAAAGTTAAAATTATTTGAATACAAATTATAAATAGTTTCAAAATTTTTTTAATGGTTGTAACTATGTTGAGTATCTGTTAAATTGAATTATATGTTAAATGTAAATATTCATGGTATGTAATTTTATGGTGTAACTGTTTTTGTATAACTTTTTGGTGTAACTGTTTTGGTTATTATTTACAGTATTGGTTAACTGGGATTTCATGATGTGTACATGTAACAAGCTGAAGTGCAACCGAACATCCCATCTGATGATGATGTTCAAACATCACAAATGACAGATACAAGCGACACTATTCCCTTCATTTCTGATTAAGACATTAAAAAAATGAATAACATTGTATCTATTCAAAAGGAAAAGAAAAACAATTACACAAAACAACGTAAAAAAAAACATTAATACAAAGGACTGAATTAATTAATCACATACTATGAGAAAAACATAATACAAAAAAATAGTTATACTATGATCTACCAAATAGGTATTGGCTGAAAATTTGTATACAAGAACAGTTACACTAAAATGCTACTCTGACTTTTTTAACACAGTTACACAAAGCAAAAATCAAAAGAAACGTGATATAAAAGCACTTAAAAAACATAAAAACAAAATAATTACACAAAAAAAGCACTTAAAAAACATAAAAACAAAATAAGTATATACAACCAAACACTAATATAATTTTCTACAAATATAGAAATACAATATTAATAAAAAAAAAAGTATATCACTGTCTATACGAAAAATAGTTACACAAATTAAAAAACAGTTACACCCATTAAAAAATCAAAGCAATTCTTTTTTCCCCTACATCCCAACAACGAAAACCATAAAACAAAATCGAAATTACGATTTCCCAATAAAAATAGCTGAATAAAAGAAAAAACATAATTATTAAAAACTTACCTTCAAGCCGATGATGATAATCAGTATTTGCAATTCATTTTTTCAAAGAAATCCTCTATTGATTAAGAAAAATAAACTTTGGAAGCAAACGAAAATAAACCAGGAAGATATCGTAACTGGAGAAGTGAATCGGCAAGCCGTACGTTGAACAAAATCGCAATGAAGCCGGCCGTTGAAGAACACTTTTACTGCAGAGACATATCACAAAAACTGCAATTCAAAATTCAAAAATGAATGATAATATCTACTATAGTCTTACATATTTGTTTCCTCAATTAACTGTCAATGATGACTGCATAATTTAGGGGAGGGTATTTAGGTAAAAAAGTTTTTATTTCATTTGAATTTTGTACCTAAACACAAAATTTTTTATTAAAATTGTACTTAATAGAGTAAACAATTTATTCATACACTTTTGCTCAAATAAGTCTAAAAAATTATATTTACACCCAAAAAACCTTAGTTACTAATGAGGAGAATATTTAAGAGATAGAATTAGTAGTTTGATAATGAGAAATTAAATGGGGTGTAAATGGAGATTTGTGGGATAGGAATAGCCCACCCAAAATAAAATCATGATCCTTAATTTTTAGTGAAAATTGTGGCTGAGTCTTTCTTAAAAGATTTATAATGAGTTTAATCTGTCAAGAAAACTTATTTGGGGATAAGTCTGATTTTAATCTTACTAATAATTCGTTAAGTTCACTATTTTTTTAAAACTCCAAACTACCCTTCTTTGAAAACAACTTAAATTGGTTTCCTAATTTGAGAATTATTATCTCTTAATTCATTATGAATGAAGATATGCCAATAAATTTTTTTATATAAATTTAAAATTCAAATTTAAAGAACAACTGATATTCTCTCTCTCTCTCTCTCTCTATATATATATATATATATATAAATATTTTTTTGACCATGTTACTATTTATGTTATTATTTTTGTGTGTATGTTATTTTTTTGTTAGACATGTTACTATTCATGTAATTATTTTTGTTGAGTATGTTGCTAGTGTTTTTTTTTCCAAACATTAAAACTCAATATTATTTATTATTTTTGAATATTTTTTTTATATTTAAATGTTACTACTTTTTGTGTTTAAATGATACTAATTTTTGTGTTTGAATGGTAATTTTTTTTTGTATTCGAATGTTACTATTTTTTTAATATTACTATATGTATATATTAGTTATTGTTCATACCTGAAGGCACGAACTAATAAAAAAATAGTTAATAATAAACATATTTGTATTCACATCTAAAATCAAATCATAAAATATAGAGAAAAAAAATGTATTTAAACACTGATTGTAGTGGGAGTGAGTGGTGGCAATGGGTGGTGGGAGACGGTAATTGTTGTAGTGGGTGACAATGGTGATGGTGGTGATGGTTTTTAGGTGGTGATGGTGGTAGTGACACCCGTGGGAGATGGCGGTGGTAGTGATGGGTTTTAGTGGTGATGGGCAACGATGATGGTAGTTGATAGTAGTGGTGGTGGGATGACAACAGTGGTGGTAAGTGGTGACGATGGTGCCAATGAGAGATGGTGAGTGCTTCTAAGAAACAATATGATGGGTGGTGGCGAATGACAGTGATGGTGGTGATAGTAGGTATGGTGGGGATGGGTGACAATAGGTGGCGACAATGGTGAGTGATGACGGGTGGTAGTGATGGGTGGTGGTGGGCAACAATGGTGATGGTGAGTGTTGACGGTGATATTGAGATTATGGTGGTAATGGTAATAAATATAAAAATGAGATGACGATAGTGGTAGTGGAGGTGGTGAACGACAGTGGTAGCAATTGGTGGTGAGTGGCAATGGTGGTGGTGGTGGAGGGTGACGGGGCAGTGAGGGCGATTAAGGTGGAGGTGGGGTAGTGGCGGTGGTGGCGATGGTGGTGGTAATGATGATAGTCGTGAGCGGTGGGGGTAGGGTGGCGGTAATGGTGATGATGGGGAGGTGAGACGGTTTCAAATACTATTTTTTTTTAAAAAGTATTTATGAAAATTATAAATACTAGTAACACTTTTTAAAAGGAGTATTAAATTTAAAAATTTGATTTAATTTCTTAACATAATGATGTTATTTCATAACAATCATTGAATTAACACCAAGTTCTAATGTTTGATGGAGTTTATAGTGAATTCAAATGTTATAGTGAATTAAGTTAACAAATTATATCAGTAAATTATGTCCCAATGACATTGCTCTTTAAAAAGTCACCTCAAACACACATATAATGACCTATTTTCCTATTAAATTTTGAGTGTTAATATTAACCGTCGAATTAACTTTAAAATAAAATTTAAAAATATATCAATTGCGAACAATAAAAGTCATTTAACTTATTTTTGAGATTTTAATTATATTGTAATTTATTTATATATATATATATATATAATTTTAATGTTAGTCAAACTCCTAAAATTTATAAATTATTAGTTTTCAAATTATTTTCAATTAAACATAACTATTAGGATATTTTAAACAATTGAAATTAAAATAAATTTAATATTAAATAAGTTTATTTGATAGACTTATGGCCAAATAAATCTACAAAATCTTACTGGTGTCCAAATTTTCCTATTATTCTAACCGGTGAACCACTGATCTGATACGTAGGCGTGCTGATTTCCTTAAACGAATTGCTATCCACCTCGTGGAGCCCGGTCTCGAGACATTTGTCGACAAGCACAGTACCCAGAGTCTTTCTCTCTCTCCCTCTCCTTTTCCACAAGACTAATCCAACACCCTCAGAAAAGAAAAGAACACCTGCAGACACTCAGTTTCAGTCACCTGGAATAGCCTACTCGTGTTCTTCAATTTCGAGAGTAAGCGTTACGATCACCTTTTTAGTTATTTCCTCAGCTTTTCCCAATACTACTTAAATTTTATCGAACAGGGAGTGAGGGTAAATTTAACTCTCTGTAGTAATCAACCGATCAAACATATTTCCTCAGCTGGGTTTTACCTTTTATCATCAGCAATCTCCCTTTAAGAACTTTATGAGGTATCTAAGGTTTTGGTAATTTGATATGCGTTCTTAGCTAAGATGATTTTCTCATTTTTTTTTAATTTTTATTTTGACTTGATTTTGAAGCCATATATGCTCGATCAAAACCCATTTTATGCATTAGCTAAGATGAATTTTCACAATTTTGGATGTTTTTTAGTTGATTTTGAGGCCAATTGAGCTTTGATCAAAACCCAACATTCTTTACCTTAATGGGATGTTCTTTTCGCTTTTACTAAATTTGATTCATTCAGATGTCTTGCATTTTTTTTTTCTGACCATATCGTTTGACTTGATCGTTAACTTTCGATTATAGATTGATCAATTCTCCACCAAAATGTAATTTCCTGTTTGTAATTCGTTCTATAGTTGTCGATGTGTGTTTCTGTACTGTTGTTCATAATTTGAAAGTTAAGAGAGGAAGTAAATAATGTATGAGTGTCCTCAATTAACTTGGAAGTCATTGCTCCCAATACAATCTTTCTCTCTGTTCTTCAATTGCTTAATCATACGAACCTATAATGAATTTTTGACTATCTTTTTTCTGCTCCATCTGTTTTTTGGTGGCATTTTCAATTGTCTTTTCTTTGATTTTCAATCGAACAAGAAGTGAGGATGATTATTTCTGCAGCTCTTTAAAGATCAATCCCTAATTTCTCGTCTGGGTTCTGCCTTTTTTTTTTGGGTTGATTATGTTGTCTTTAATATTTGCTTTGAGTCTTTGGCAGACAATAGTGAACTTTGCATTTGATTCTCCTGAGTTTCTGCAGGCTTTATCCTGTTAGAGGGCCCTTTTACTTTGATAATCTTAATACGAGTGTTTAGACTGATCAATGCTTGATCAGTTCAAATTGCAGCGGTTGATGTATTTCATGTTTGCCTATCTATATTTGTGTTGGTATATGAAACAGTTATGTATGTCTTTGCATCAAATTTTTTGCTTGACTGGTTCTGATAATCTGAAGGTTTTGGAGGCAAAAAAAAGAGCTATGGTAGCCATGTCTCTCCATAAAGAGCTTATCTTCTTGATATTACAGTTCTGCGATGAGGAAGAGCTCAAGCAAACTGCACACATGTGAGTTATCCTTTCTTCTCTCATTGAAATTCTCATTGTAATTAGTCTGATAATTTCTCAAACAGGCTTCAGCATGAGACGGGTATTTTCTTCGACATGAAGTATTTTGAGGACCTACTGCTTGGCGGTAATTGGGATGAAGCTGAGAGATATCTGTCAGGTTTCAGTGGAGTTGAGGAGGACAAGTATTCAATTAAAGTCTATTTTGAAATTAGGAAGCAAAAGTTCCTTGAGGCACTGGACAAGTAAGCTTGGTAGTTTTACAAGTTTTATGTTATCTTCTTCCAAGTTTTAGGTTTTGAACAATGTAACTATGTAAATTTGGGTTGCAGGCATGATACAGCAAAGGCTTTAGATATCCTTGTGAAAGATCTAAAAGTGTTTGCTCCATCAAACGAAGAGCTGTACAAGGAAATGACACATCTCCTAACTTTAGATGACTTCAGGTAGAAATGTTGTATATGATGGAACTCTAAAAGTAGGATACTCTTGTATGACCTAATCAGAAACATGTGGAATCAACAGAAAACATAGCTCACTATCCACATATGGAGATATGATGTCTGCGAGAATTCGCATGATGAATGAAGTTAAGAATGTCCTTGAAGCAAGTCCCCTTTTCCATGACAAGTTAAAGTTCCCTGACATCAATAAATCAAGGTTACGACGTCTCATCAATCAAAGGTACTTTGTTTCTTTTTCATATGATGTTATCTTTGTTCAGTAGCATTGGTCAACTACAAGATAACAGTACAATGTCAGCAATCGTTTTATTTGCATTTCTTATTAATTGGAAATACTTAGCCATATACTCTTCACAATTTTTAGCCTTGCTTCTTGTTGTTGAGTGTAAACTGATGTTATTTTATTTTCTGACAGCTTAAATTGGCAGCATGTTCTCTGCACATATCCTCAGCCAGACCCTAGTATAAAAACGCTCTTTATGGATCATCAATGTCCACTGCCCGATCAACCATGTGATCATTCAATTGAGATCAATCCACTGGTAAAATGCTAACTGAAAAATATAGTTAATCCTTTCTTTTCATCCACACCCCAAAAGTTGCCAAGCTTATTATTGTGTTCAACTATTATCTTGTATGTACTGATTTTTTCAGAATGCTTGAATTTGTGTACTTAGCTTTCCAATGACCCGTCAACTACATCATCACCTTTTTCTGGAAAGTCGAATTGTGATCCGTCTACTGTTACTCAATCTATAGTTTCTGATGGAGATCTCAATCTGGGTGTTTCAACCAATTTAGGTGGTGGATTTGTTTCTTTTATTGTGCTTCTGGTAGGCTCTGGTGGAGCTTAATTTTTTACTGATTAGTGGATGAAATTTGGCTTTTAGAAGACACAAATTTAAAGGATGGCAAGGATTCTGATGATATGTTCAAAATAAGGTCCACTGGAACTTCAGAGGAGGTAAACTGGATCAACTCCTATTGTGATATAGCTTAGTGTTATTTTTATTCATGACCAATTTACTCTTCGTATTGTGGTCACTTTATTGTTAAAGCTCTTCTATTTTCCAGACATCTTTTATTGCTCAAACTCATTTGTTCATCTCTGTGGTGTTTTTGCATGTGTATGCAGTTGACATCGCCCATAACTTTTCCTAGTCAAAGTCACAGTTCTGCACTCCACATCCCTGATGACCTGCCAAAGGCTGTTGGACGCATTTTGAATTTGGGTTCTTCTCCAACAAGCATGGATTTTCACCCCATTCAACAGACTTTTATTCTAGGTTAATTTGTAGGCACATACCTTTTAAAGCATATTAGGTGTACTTAATATCCCAAAACTTTTATATACTGAGCTGCAACTAACTACTGAGCACTGGTTATGGATTGTCAGTTGGAACAAATGTTGGGGACATAGAGTTATGGGAAGTTATTTCTGGGGAGAAATTGCTTTCAAGAAAATTTAGAGTTTGGAAAATTGATGAGATTTCAGTGACATTCTTGGTATATTCCTCTTGACCCATCTTATTATGACTCAGAAGAACCCAATGTACTATCATGCAAATGATCTGACGTTTAAGTAACACTCACTGATGTACAGGAAAATCTGGTAAAAGATCCATGTGTCTCAGTTAATCGTATACTATGGAGCCCTGATGGATCACTATTTGGTAAGTGTAAATATGTCAGAATGCTAATGGTTTTCCAGTAGCTGCTTATTTTGATTATTTATTGTCTTCAGCCTGACTCTCTTTTTCGTTAAACAGGGGTTGCATATTCAAAGCACATTGTACAGTTATATTCTTATCATGGTGGCAGGAAGATTCGGAACCAACTGGAGGTTGATTGCTGCCATTTTCCTCTTTTCTTTAGGTTTGCTTCTAACACTTGCTTTTCTTGACTAGGTTGATGCTCATGTTGGTGGTGTAAATGATCTTGCATTCTCGAAACCAAATAAGCAACTTTTGCTCATAACTTGTGGCGATGACAAGCTCGTTCAGGTTGGTACAGAAGTGAATGCAATTGATTTATATATCAGAATGAAGTTGATAAGTCGTTTACTTTTCTTGGTATGAGGTGTGGGACGTGATTAGTGGTGCCAAACAATATACGTTTGAAGGTCATGGGGCACCTGTTTATACTGTATGCCCTCATGTAAAGGAAACAATTCATGTAAGGACATGACTTTACGCTGTTTGCTGCTTTCTCATTCTCCATGCAGTTTTTAGTGTTTTCACGTATTTAATTGAACTTTATGATGAATTTATACTTTGGTTCATTAGTTTATATTTTCAACATCAACGAATGGTGAGATAAAAGCATGGTTATATGACAATATGGGATCAAGGGTTGCGTATGATACTCCTGGTCACTGTTGCATGAGAATGGCTTATGGTGCTGATGGTAAAAGGTGGTAATATTGTATCCACTGTACTATCTTGATGGTTTGCATGCCAAACTGGAATGTTAGTGTTGTCAACCATTTGCAGGCTTTTTTCATGTGGGACTAATAGAGATGGAGTGTCATACATTGTTGAATGGGATCAAACTGAAGGTTATTTGATGAGGACATACGTAGGACTTCACAAATGTTCTGCGGGTGTTGTGCAATTTGATACAAGCAAGAACCGATTTTTAGCTGCTGGTGATGACCATTTAATCAAAGTTTGGGATGTGGACAACTGTGAACTGCTGACAACTATTGATGCAGATGGTGACCTACCTGTATGTGCTTCATCAGGCTTTTGTAGTTTTTCATTCTTTTCAATTTTATATCCAATTTTAATTTTGTACTTTAGTTTAAAATATAATCAAACTTTTTTATTTTGGTATAAGAACGGCGTTGTTACTGCCTGACTACTTATTTTCTGATTTTTAGGCAAGTCCATATATTCGCTTTAACAAGAAAGGAACCTTCTTGGCTGTTTTTGCCAATTATAACAGAATCAAAATATTGGCAAACTGTCATGGCCTTCAACTGCTGCAAATGTCTGAAGATTGTCCCACCAATGCCTTTACAGCTCTCTCAGAAACTGTAAGAACGGTCAGGATATTAGACTTTCTCCTGTTCCTTCATACAGGATATTCACTGAGGTTGGTTATTCATGCAGCTTGTGAGCATTTCAATTTCAACTGCTGCTGAGTCTAGACTTACGGATAAAGCTGTCCCTGTGGTAGGTGGTCCAGACAGATTTGTTCAAGATTTATAATTGTCATTCATTGTGCATAATTTGGATTCCATTGAGTAATTTTAGATATAATGGACTCATTTTTCTCTTCCACAGCATAGTGCAATATTTGTTTACCACTGCATAATAAATACCCCAAAGAGGGAAAGAGTACTGCTGAAGTAACATATTAATTTAAGTAATTTTTCATAGAAAGGGGATACAGAAACCTTGGAGGATGGCCAGCCTGGATCAACTGCAGCACCTGCTGACATATTAGAGACTCGGAACTTATCTAAAATTCATGCACCTTCACAATTGCAGTCCTTGAGGCTCCCTTCTGAAGTGAAAATCAGCAAGGTTTGTGGCATTTTTAAGTTATCCCAGAAGACAAGTTACTTGTGAACATTTCAATTATTTGGCATTTGTTGTTGGCATAATCTGCATTACAGTGTTGGCAATGAAGCTGAGGAATGTAGTGTTTTGCTCTCATTTGTGCATTAGACATCTAGATATATAATCTATAGTTTGAACTTTCGTTGCTGGATTCTGCCTCAATATGCTGCACATTACTGTTGATGAGATGATTAAGTCCCACCATTCTGTTAAGGAAATAAATAGCATGGACTGCACTTTATATTTATATAAACAGCTTTATGAATGCTTTATATTTATGAATGCTTTTCAAGGTGATGCACAAAGAGCCCACACATAGGTGTTCTCGGCTCTTGGGATAGCAAGTAATACTAATAAGATGATCTCAAATACACAATTCCAAGTTTTGGTCATGCTATCTAATGTTCTCTAGAGGATCATCTTCTATACTTATTATCAAGCTCAATTAATAATGGTTTTTCAGATAGACACAAATAAGGTGTAGCCATTTGTGGAGATTAACTTCTGTATACCATTCTATTTGCGAGTCATAAAACTAAATTATTAATTATTCGATATTATTTATGTCCATATTTTTTAAGTTCTCAAATGCGCCAGAGTCTACTAGACAATTTCAGTCTTGTTGACAGACCAAGAAGTTGAATTTCAACTCATAGACTGTTGGCAACAAATTTAGGGAAGACATGGAAAGTTTAAGTCTTTTGCTATGCACGTGGGAGAGAATTGGTGTCTTGACACTTCATAGACAAGTGTAAGGATGTCAAACGCATCGGGTTAAATGGTTACGTGTCGGGTTAAACGGGTAACGGGTAAAAAACATCTAAATCCATACACGATCTGTTTAATAAACGGGTGAAAAACCTCGACACGAATATGAACCGTTGAATAAACGGGTAACACGACACGACTCGTTTAATCCGCTTAGTTTTAATTTATTTTTAGTTTATTATTATATTTTTGTGGTTGTCACTAAATTAAAAAAAAAAATTTGTGACTATCACTAAAAATAATATATATATTTTATGTGGTTGTCATAAAAAAAAATTTGCCCAATTTTTAAAAATAATTATTAATTTATTATTATATTAATTTTATTTAAACGAGTGATAAATAGGTTTACAGGACTCACCCGAACATGACCTGTTTATTAAACGTGTTTAACGGGTCAACCTGTTTACCACCCGGACCCGTTAAGGTCTCACCCAAACCCGTTTAATTCGTGTCGGTTAATCGTGTCGTGTCGGACTTTGAGAGGCCTAGACAAGTGACAATATGAGTATGATAGGCTTATGCCAGAATATAGTATTGAGTCCTTTTGTTTCTGCATTTTTTATGTCTAATTATGTGATTTCTACATTGAGATTCCTATAAGGAAGTTGCATATTTTTTTTTTTTGGGGGGGGGGGGGGGTATAGGGAAGTTGCATATGACATGGATTTTAGCACTGTAATTGAAGTTAAGGTAAGTCAAGTTAGGAAGCTCCATTTGGTTAAATTGGCCGAAACCTGAAAGAGAGGATAAATTCTATGGATTATTCTGTCACAGAGGATGGAACTAACAATTATAAGATGGGGTGTGTGAGTTTGAGGGAAGCCACTTAATAATAGAGGTTAGGTCTGTACTTAATCCATAACAAAAGTATGGTGTACATGATTATTTAGATCACAAATCAAGTAGGGGTACTACAAATAGGCATCATCAAATAGGGATGAACTAAGGAGGATACAACCCAAAGTATTTAGATTGATTGCCTATAGTATATTAACACGTCATCTGATCATTGTATTGTTAGCAGAATGAGTGATGCAAATAGGAGCAGCAACAGTATAGTGTTATTGATATAATAGTGCTGAAAATATCATAAACCCATAAAAATACTACCTTCTACTGTGAAATAACCATAGAATTGATATAAAGCAACAAAGGTGAAGAGTCCTCCTAAAACCTAAGGAAAATTCTGGATTTCTGGACTTTTCTTACTCTATCATTATAGGAAGCTCTATTTGGTTAAATTGGCCGAAACCTGAAAGAGAGGATAAATTCTATGGATTATCCTGACACAGAGGATGGAACTAACAATTATAAGATGGGGTGTGTGAGTTTGAGGGAAGCTACTTAATAATAGAGGTTAGGTCTGTACTTAATCCATAACGAAAGTATGGTATACATGATTATTTAGATCACAAATCAAGTAGGGGTACTACAAATAGGCATCATCAAATAGGGATGAACTAAGGAGGATACAACCCGAAGTATTTAGATTGATTGCCTATAGTATATTAACACGTCATCTGATCATTGTATTGTTAGCAGAATGAGTGATGCAAATAGGAGCAGCAACAGTATAGTGTTATTGATATAATAGTGCTGAAAATCTCATAAACCCATAAAAATACTACCTTCTACTGTGAAATAACCATAGAATCGATATAAAGCAACAAAGGTGAAGTGTCCTCCTAAAACCTAAGGAAAATTCTGGATTTTTGGACTTTTCTTACTCTATCATTATATATCATCTTTTGGTCTAACTCCTCGTGTATTTGGTTGTGTTGCATATTTATTCACCTTCTTGGCCCTGATCGAGATAAACTTTCATTTCATTCAGTTAAGTGCATTTTTCTGGGATACTCTCATATTCAGAAATGTTATCGTTGTTATGACCCTGTCTCGTGTAGGTATTATATTAGTGTCGATGTCACATTTTTTGAGTCAACTTCTTTCTTTTCTGATATAGGAACTACTACTTTTTCATTAGATTTGATCTCTACTTGTTAGGAGGAGCTAATATTGCCTCTTTTACCTAATGATGTATCTTCTCCCCTCTGGCTATTGACCCTCCTTTGCATGTTTACCATTGTTCCATGTATAGACAAGATGTTCCATATGCTCCAGCTCCCTAACTAATACCTGATTCTATTGAGGTTCTTTCTCTTGATTCACCTGATTTGCCTATTGCATTGCGGAAAGATACTTGTATTTGTACCCACAGTTATCAAATTGAGATTCGTATTGAGAGTCGAAATTGAATATCGTAAGATTCACCACAAAATTGGAACAATAATAAAAAGTAATATGTACATATTCAAAATATGCAAGATATTAAATATTGAACATTGTTGTATTTTAAAAAAATCAATTAATGATATTAACATGATCACGTTGTCTAAATGAAAAGATGCTAGTCTTTATAAATCTTTATAAAACTATACTAGTTTGTACATAATAAATCACTACTTCAAAATGGCCATGATGAAATATGCATAATTTTTAACTAACAAATATCTATTGTCTTCTTATCAATAAAGTAAAAATAAAATAGGAAAAAACTTGTTTTGATTCGAACGTGGAAACTTAAAAAATCACTTCCCACATTCGATTGAAAAATAATTTTTTAATAAAAAAAATAAAAAATAAAGAATTTATTGAAGAAAAAGAAGAAGTAGGGTATGTTAGGGTTTAGTAGCTATTTTTGAAGAAAAAGAAGAAAAGGATACTTAGAGGGAAGGAGTTGTCTCCATGTGATGTTCACAAACGCCTAAAGAGTTGCTTGAGAGGCAGAGACACGAATAGGAGATATAGAGAGAGACGCGAGTTTTATATTTAGGGGTGAGCCTCTTCTAGCAAAACGACGTTTTGACTCTCTAATAGGCAAAATGATGTCGTTTTACTAGAAATATGGTTTAAAAAAAATAAATCGTGTGATTCTTTCGATTCGAATTGAATTATATGATGCTTGTGATTCAGGTGCGACTCTTAGTAAAAAATAATTTTATAGTAAGATACATATTGAATGGGGACTAAATCGAATCGTACGATACAATGCTTACCCAATATCCTATTTTTAATTTTGTCTCTTTACATCGACTTTCCTCTTCATTTCTTTTTTTTTGCATCCGTCTTGTCTTTTGTTACTGTTCCTAGTTCTTTCAAACAGGTATTATTATCTCTTGGATGGAAATTGACTATGGACGAGAAAATTAAGGCACTTTATGAAAATCCTACTTGGGACCTTAGTTCTCTTTCATTTGGTATGCAACTTGTTAGTTGTCATTAGGTGTATATAGTGAAATGTCATCCTGATGATTCCGTTGAGTGGTTGAAGGCATGATTGGTTGCTAAAGGTTATACTCAAACCTATGGTGTGGATTGCAATGAGACCTTCTCCCTTGTTGCTCGCCTTGATTTTAGTAGTGTTCTTATTTTTGTTGCATTCAATTCTGATTGGCCCTTGTATCAGTTGCACATAAAGAATGCATTCTTACACGGAGATCTACAAGAGGAAGTATATATGACCCAACCTCCAGGTTATGGTTATTTCAGGCTAAGAGCAAGTAGTGTGTTGTTTGAAAAAGGCATTGTGTGACTTGAAACACTCACCATATTCTTGGTTTGATAAGTTCAATACCGTGGTACTTCAATTTAGTTTTCAACACTCTACCACAAATTATTCAGTTCTCACTCGTCGGTCTTCTACGGGTATTATTGTTAGTTGTGTATGTCGATGACATCATCATCAATGAGAATGACTCAGATGGTATTGTTCACTTCAAGGCCTATTGGGAAAGCAATTTCATGCTATAAATTTAGGTCTTCTTCAGTATTTCCTGGGGGTTGAGGTTGCCTGTTTAAAGTAGAGTATCGGTTTATGCCCACGAAAGTATGTACTAGACTTATTATTTGAAACAGGTACTCTTGGTGCACGTTCGATTGATACACCTATGGACTCTATAGTTAAGTTAGATCCTGAGAAGTGAAATCTTTGATGTTATACGGCGATATCGGTGATTGGTTGGTAAACTAATTTATTTTATAATTACACGCTTTGATCTCACATGTCATTGGGGTGGTTAGTCAGTACATGCACGCTCCTCGTAAGCCTCATTGAGAGGTTGTCTGTCGTATACTTAGGTATCTATTATCAATAATTGTTGTTGATTTTTCTAACGCCGATTTGGCAGGTAGATATGGTGATAGAGGATCTAAGTTTGTGCATTTCACATTTGTTGGTAGTAATATGGTTATTTGGTACAGAAAGAAGTATAGTGTGGTTACTCGTTCTAGTGTAGAGGCAGAGGATCGTGATACGACACATGCTACTCGTGAGATGCTATGGGTTCATTCTCTACACCATGATATGAGATTTGATGTTTCTTCCTCAATGAAGATGCATTGTAACAATCAAGTAGCTATTTTCATTGCAAGTAATCCAGTATTTCAAAAGCGTACTAAACAAATTGAGGTGGATTATCATTTCATTCGAAATCTCTTGATGCGAAAGGAGATCATCATCCCATATATTAAGTCTGGTGATCAGTTGGATGACATTTTTACCAAACCATTAGCTCGGTCTGTCTTCAATAGTTTATGTTCTGAGTTGGACATTTTTTATCTTTATGCTCCGGCTTGAGAGAGTGTTAGAGTTTTTATTTTTTATATTAGTCATTTAGATTAGTATAGAGTAATATTATAATTATGTTAATTATTTCTCTACTATAAATAAGAGTGTGTAAGACAACACAGTTATACACCAATTATTCTTCTCAATCTCTCTTATTCTCTTCCTCTTTTTCATTCCCTCTGCTCAACCCTAACATAAAGTATACAATTTAACTGAAATGAAGCAGAATCTGCAGCCTTTTGCTAGTCTTATGCGCATACAGCAGCGATAAAGGGACTGGCGGACTGGTAGGCGCCGTGAGGTTGAATCCTCAACACCTTAGCGTCAAAATCTTGAAAACCCTGGCTGGCTTTGGAGCTGAAGCTGTCTGCAGGAATTCTCCACTCAAAGACTCAAAATGTACTGGAAAAGTGATTGATCATTTCTATTTATACCAACTCCAACGCTTCTAAAGGAAGCCACTACAATACTTTGCACATAAATCCCCAAAGGACTAGATATTTTCAAAACACTCCAAACATGTAACCTTCTATTGCCAACCACACCAAAAGACTAGAAAAGCCCTCACTTTGGTACAGCTAGGCCAATCTGAGATCAAAATCTGAAATGACAAAAATACCCTTAATCCAAGCTAATAAATAGACACATATTATTTCTATATACACATATGCACACGATTTGCATTATTCTACCCCCGTTAGAAAGAACTCTCTTCCATGTGAGTTCCCATTTTAGCCACTTGACACATTGCAGGATCAACACTCAGAAACTCAGCTTCACTTATCCATGAATTCTCAAAATCTGGTTTTCTAACCCATTTGACAAGGAATCGAAAGTAGGCTCCAATTGTGGTCTTGATTTTCCACACTTGAATCAGGCTTTCAATCCTTGTTTTTCTTTAATAGAAGTTTGGTTCGATGTTGCATTTGCAGCACCTTCTTTTTCAACTTTCGTGTCACCATGAAAACTATATATATCTGTCACATTAAAGATAGGTGATTTTTCTAGACCTTGAGGGAGCTCAACTTCATATGCATTTTCACCAAATTTGTGCAAAATCATACAAGGACCAATCTTTTTGCTCTTAAGCTTGTGATAAGAACCAGCTGGGAACCTTCCTTTTCAAAGGAATGTCATGATCCATTCCTCAATATTGTACTCTTTAAACCTCTGAGGACGATCAACAGGCTCTTTGTTGCACTGGTTCGTATCCACCATTCTCTTTTGAACCTATTCTTGAATCTATAGCATCATCACTAGCTTGTGGTTGAATTGATACATACAAAATGTCAACAGCCTGATTTGGATTCCTTCCATACACTCTTTGAGAAGGACTCTTCCCTGTAGACCTATCCACAGCACTGTTATAAGAAAATTTAGCTTTCGGCAAGATCAAATCCATTGTCTAATATTGTCTCTTGCAAGGCATCACAACAGATTTCCAAAGCTTCTATCCACTATTTCTGTTTGGCCATCTGTTTGGGGATGACATGCACTACAATACTGCAATTTAGTTGCCATTAATTTTCACAAAGTCTTCTAAAAATAGCTAAGAAACTTTGTATTCCGATTTGATGGAATGGTCTCTGGCACACCATGTAGTCGAACCACTTCCCGAAAGAAAAGACTAGCCACATTAGTTGCGTACAACATTTTTTACGAGCAATAAAATGTGTCATCTTCGAGAAATGATCAACAACAACAAAAATTGAATCAACTCTCCTTCTTGTCCGCGGCAAACCCAACAAAAAATCCATGCTAACCTCAATCCATGGAACTATGGGAATTGGTAAAGGAGTGTATAAACCAATGTTTTGTTGCTGCCCTTTAGAAATTTGACATGTACAACATTTATCAGCATGTCGTATACATCCCGTCACATGCTAGGCCAAAAGTACCTTTCCACCACCAAATATAGCATCTTATCCTTACCAAAATAACCTCCTCCATGCAATTCGACAATTAGAAATTCTCTTAAGGAGCCTTGAGCAATGCATAACTTGACACCCTTAAATAAATATCTTGTTGTCTCTTGAACAAATTATGTACATATCTTGTTGTCTTGGACTGCATGTTTTTCAGGTATAACTTGGAAATATGGGTTTTCGTTGTGCTGCTATTTGATCCTTCCAGCCCAACTCCCCCAATAGACATAGTCTTGAACAAATAGACTGTTCTACTCGAAAGCATCAGCCATTTTCTTTTGTAAACCAGCCTTGTGTCTTTGAGAAAATGTGTACTCGTACAGGAATGCCACCCATTTTGCATGTATGCTACTTAGCTAGCTTCTTTTGCGAGTTGCGATAACGCAAAGTTTCATGATCTAAGTGCAAAATGAACTCTCTTTGGATCAAGTAATGTCGTCAAAACTAAAAGACCTGCAGAATAGCACAAAATTCAAGGTCATAAATTGAGTAATTTTGTCAAGCTCTATTGAGTTTTTTGCTAAAATATGCTACTGGATGCCTTCTTGATTTTAAAAAGCCCCAATTCCATTCTTTGATGCATCACAATCCACTTCAAAAAGTTTATCAGAATTGGGTAGTGCAAGTATCGCAGCTCATGTCATCGTTTGTTTTATCGCTTCAAAACTCTTCAGTTTTGGAACTCCAATTGAACCTTCCACCCTTAAGACATTCTGTAATCGCAGCCACTATAGTGCTAAAGTTCTTGATGAATCTTCTGTAAAAAGTAGCTAAACCATGAAAATTTCTTACATCTGTCTAGGTCTTTGGTGTTGGTCAGCTCGCAAATGGCTTGAACCTTGATCGGATCAACTTCTATACCCTTCGTTGAGACAATGAAGTCCAAGAACTCTACACTGACCACCATAAATCTGCACTTTTTAGGATTAGCGTTTAGCTGATTTTGTCTCAGAAGTTGCAAAACAGCCCTTAGATGTTCAACATTCGCCTCTTTATCTTTACTATACACCAAGATATCATCAAAATACACAACAAGAAACTTTCCACTGATTCAGGACCTGAATCATAAATCTCATGGATGTACTAGGTGCATTAGATAATTCAAATGGAATGACCAACCATTCGTACAATCCCTCATTGGTTTTGAATGTCATTTTCCACTCATCATCTTCTCAGATTCTTATTTGGTGATGACCACTCTTCAAATCAACCTTGGAATAGACTCATGCACCTGAGAGCATATCCCTCGTATCATCCAATACTTTATGGTTATCTTGTTAATAACCCTGTTGTCCACACATGTGCTCCAAGTTCCATCATTCTTCAGGGTGAGCAAAGCTAGTACGACACATTGGATAACTTTTGTCCTGCATAGTTCTAGGACCTACCTCTCAAGTTCTTCATGTCCTTTTAGACTCATATGGCAATGTGGCAGGTTAGGTAAGTCCTTGGGCATCACTACTCTATATTCATCTACCAACTCCCTCACACATTTTGGCACCATTTGAGACTGTTGTTCCTCTTTCCCAACAAGGACATATACAATTCCACTCTCTTTGATTTGCCCCTTGAAGTCATTTGAATTGAGAAGTGAGGCGGAACCCCCTTTTCTATTGTTGGCAAAGTTATCATCTCTCATTGGTTTCAACACAATTCTTTTCTTTTTATCACCATTTTTCACAAAGAAAGAATGTGTTCAAAGTGCCATCATGCAATGTGCCTCGATCATACTACCAAGGACGTCCAAGCAAGATATGGCATTCTAAATCTTTAAAAGATCCAACGGAAAAATCAAGTAGTTGTTTAACAAGCTTCCAGCTGTTGATTTGTATCTTCCATATTTGCAAAATGTTACTCCAATCCCACATTGTGATCATCAACAAGGTTAACACGAGCCTCAGCTCTTTTTGGACACTCATTAACCCAATTTCAAGACATCGGTAACACTCAACTGTCATTTGGCTTCAAGTATTTTTCCTTGTTTGACTGCCTTCCACTAGTGTTTTCTTGTTGGTTAGGACGAATGTGAGTTGTTGTCCATCCACCTTGAGGAGGTTTATTCCCTCAATTACTTGATGCACCACTCTTGTCATCATTCCCAAGCCTCTTAAATGAACCCCGAGTGATTTGGCCTTCCAACTTTTAGTACAAGCTGGGGAGGGTTGTTGTCCTTCCACCTTGAGGAGGGTTATTCCCTCAATTACTTGATGCACCACTCTTGTCATCATTCTCAAGCCTCTTAAATGAACCCCGAGTGATTTGGCCTTCCAACTTTTAGTACAAGCTGATAAGCATCACTCACTTTATAAGGTTGTTGCAAACTCACTTGGTCTTGTATAGCCAATCAGAGAACATTCACGTACCCCACTAACCTTTTGGATTTTAGTTTCAACAATATTACACCTTAATGTCAGTCTGTGGAACTCTTGAGTATACTCTTTCACTGTCTTGTCATGCTGCCTTAGGTTTTGTACCCTTTGGTGTAAAATTTGCTCATAATCACGAGGCAAGAATTGAACTTTTAGCTTCTCTTTAATCTTCTTCCATCTTCTAACCTTTCCTTTGCCCTCGCTTCTCAATCATTTTGGTAGTGTTTTCACCATGTAGAAGCTGGACCCCTTAGTTTTGCTCCTACAAACTTCATATTTCTTTCTTCAAGCATATCTTTCCAATCAAAATAGCTTTCAATATTTTCTATCCAATTCAAAATTGCATCTAGCTCCATCTCTCCATCAAACTCGGAGATATGAACCTGCACAGGAATTTTGTAGAGGACGTACAATGCAATCTTCTGATTGTTGTGGTCTTACATTGCGTCGCATAGGTCTCTCTTGATTCGACCCCTCTTCCTTCGCTAGAAAAATCACTTTCTCCACCCGACTAAGTCATTGATCTCATTCTCAGCATCCCTAATATGATCAGATTCATGGTCGCTTTCATCCCCACAATGACGGTTGTTTGTTGCTTGCATAACCAGTTGAGTAAGATTCTGAATTTGTTCCTGCAATGCTTCAAACATTTCAACAGTGGCATATCTCTCCCTACGGCCATGGCTCTTCCACCCCTTGCAGCCATATTTTCTTTTTACAACTTTAAAATACTCAAAAGGGAAAGAAGCAAGGAGCCCAATCAAGGAACTTGCTCTGATACCAATTTGATGCAGATAGGAGTAGCAACATAAAGTTTTATGGATATTATATTGCTGAAAATCTCAGAACAACGTAAAAATACTACCAAATACTACCTTCCACTGTGAAATAACCACTAGAATCGATATAAAGCAACAAAGGTGAAGTATTCCTAAAGAAAATACTTGATTCTTAATTTTTTATGGACTGAAACGAAGCAGAATCTGTGACCTTTTGCTGGCCTTACACGTGTACAACAGTGACAAAGGGACTGGTAAGCGTCTTGGGGTTGAATCCTCAAAACTCTAGCCTCCAAATCTTGAAAGCCCTAGTTGGTTTTGGAGCTGAAGCTTTCTGCAGGAATTCTCCACTCAAAGATTCAAAAAAGTGCTGGAAAATTGACTGACCACTCCTATTTATACCAAGTTACCAACCCCAAAGCTTCCAAAGGACGCCACTCCAATACTTTGCATATAAACCCCCAAAGCACTAGATATTTCCAAAACACTCCGAACATGTAACCTTCTATTGCCAACCATTCCAAAAAAGACTAGAAAAGCCCTCACTTAGGTACAACTAGGCCAATATGGGATCAAAATCTGAAACAACAAAAATACCCTTAACCCAAGCTACTAAGTAAACACATTATTTTTATGTACACATGCACACGATTGACATCAATAAGAAATTTTGTTGATGAAATAACAAAAAGAATTGTATTTTAAAAAGTAGCCTTTATCGGAACCAAAATTGTGTTTCCATGATAGAAGGGATAGCCCATATGAGACATTGAAACCAATGAGTGGTAGAAATGTATAACCCAAGCCAAGAAAAATGTTCAAGAACATCTGGAGAAGACCAGCAATGCTGCCAGGCCTGCAGACAAGGAGGCATGATAGGGCTGAAGGTACTGGAAAGAGGGTTATGAAGGAATATTGGTTGACTTTTTTTATCCTATGTGTAAACTCTCAATTGAAGGTAGAATATGTTGCTCTTTTTTGACTGAAATAGCAGATTGCCCATTCCCTGCTAAGAGTGGTGAAGATCAGATCAGGGAACATATTTCGAGTGATTTTACTTTTGCCAGAATAACGTTTTCTGCACTTCCCATATAGATTGCCCATTCCCTGCTAAGAGTGGGTGAAGATCAGATTAGGGAATGCATTTCAAGTGATTTTACTTTTGTCAGAATCATGTTTTTTGCGCTTCCCATCTACATCATGGCACGATGAAAATTAGGACTACAGACCAGTCCCTGATCGGGAAACAAACATGGCAGAAGTATTTGGTCATGGTATTTAATCTATAGTCTATACACATTAAGATGATCTTACAATGTGCCAGGGAGCTGTCAAGCTTCCCACATCTCATATAGCATCGATTTTTAGGGTAGTTCTTTATTCGTTGTTCTAATCTATCAGTTAACAAATTGCTGTGCAACTGCTATTAAATAAACAGTTTTGGGTCAATGTGTGCCACAAAACCCTTCTCAAATCCATTGAAATTCAATCAGGTTCCTCCAAAATCAGGTGTAAAAGGCCAGCTCAGTGCACGAGGCACCTACCACTACAGGATCCGGGAAGAGTTAGATGTGCACAACCTGACCCTTGCATGCGCTTAATGACCAGGTCACAGTGGAGTAATCATACTCGTGTGCCAAGGCCCACCCTCCAAAATGAAATGTGAAAAGGAAAAAAATACATCTTGAGGAAGAGTAATGAAATACGATTCAATGGTAATGCATGGGGTAGAGATAGACCGAAAAATTAATTTTGAATGATATAGTAAAAAACCAAATGATAACTTACACTGGGAAATATGACTCTTGATAAAGGACACTGGGAGAACATGATTCATGTAATAGTCTTAAATAGTTGGGACAAACCATCATTAAGTTGAGATGATACCCACTGTTGAAGCCTTTTGTAGTTAGATAAACAAGATCAGGAAGTTTTTATGCAGGACCCTTTTCTTTGCTTGCAAAATTGGTTTGTAATTGCAACGAGCTATTACAAAGGTTTGTCTTTTAGTTTTTCTTGCACTGATATGTAGATCATGGAAAGCTGCAGTTTTCATATGCCTGCATTATTCTAACTTTTTACAAGAACCAGCAATGCCCCTTTGGTGACCTGAGCATGACTCACCCTTCAATGCCTGTACGCCTGAGTATGACACAGCCTTGAATGCCTTTCCAGCATGGGATTTATAGCAGCAAAGGCAGAAGTAACCCATCCTAGAAATTTCAGAATAGGCCTGGATTGCTAGTTAGTAATGCATGAAATTGTATTTTTTTTAGGTTAAGCCTACATCATTCATGCATTTCAAACTGGAATCTGTGAACATAGGTAATTTTGATTTTCTGAACTAATATTTGAAAAGATTACAAATCTTTGTTTCCATTTAAAAATACTCACAGAAATGCATTACAATGGTAAAGAATTGAATCCTATTGTTGATTTAGCTTTTTCAGGCCCTAAATCTACATGAAAAGAGTTCTTCACTGGCTTCTTATGTGATGGCAGGAAATATCAAGGTTGATCTACACTAATGCAGGTAATGCGATCCTGGCATTAGTAGCAAATGGTGGCCTTCTACTTTGGAAATGGTCGCAAAATGAAACCAATTCGAGTGGCAAGGTAACAGAATTTAACACAGTAAATTTTTTTATTCCAATTTAAAACTCAATCTGGCTAAAAGTATGTGTCTATCGATCTAGTCAGTAAGCAAAATGTTCATCAGCTGCAGGTGACCACAAAGGTTGCCCCTCAACTATGGCAACCAAGGGGTGGATTACAAATGACCAGTGACCTTACCTGCAGTAACTTTGATGAGGTTTTGCCTTGCTTTGCTTTGTCCAAAAATGATTGTTACGTCATTTCAGCCTCAGGGGCAGCGGTCTCTCTGTTCAACATGATGACACTTAAGGTACGTACTATAGCTACTTCAGGACATTGCATCAATATTTTTCAATGTTTACCATACATTAAACTATGTGCAACCTACTCATTAAGTATGGACTATATAATCAGATCATGTGAACTTCAGTAATTTGTGCATTTATTAGTTATTCTACAGTTCCAGTCCAACAAACAATAGATCTGCTTATCATGAGGAATTATATTTGTTCGTCATACTGTTGTCAATAGAATGAGTCTGGAAAAAATTGCACATTAAAGAGAAAAGGAAGAGGAAACTAAATTGTTTCAAACAATTTAACACATGGTTATTTTGCTTTCCTTGTTACTTGACTGCTTGTGCCATTGCCAACATCTATGCTTCTCTATACTTGTTTCCGTTCTTATTGGTAAGCCCTAAAACCAATTTTTTCACCTGATATATTATCGTCAATTTGATCCTTAACTTATCTTGATTAGAATACAGTCGTCATATTCTAAACCACTCCAGACCCTGAATCTGTCAACCATGGTTGGTTGTCATTCAAGATGAAGACCAGATGCAACTGACCATTATAAAATCCTGTTGGAAAATGCAGAAAATGAAAACTTTCATGGCTCCACCACCTGCAGCAAGATGTATTGCTTTCTACCCCTCAGACAATAACATAATTGCCGTTGGCATGGATGATTCCACAATTTTGATATTTAATGTCCGTATGGATGAGGTATGATATTTGTTTCCAATATACAGGAATACTTGAATGACAACATAAGAAAAAGAGTCAAGTTAATTGTTGCCTTTGTTTATGCAGGTTAAAAGTATCCTAGAGGGTCACCACGACAGAATAACTGGCCTTGCCTTCTCTAATTTAGTGAATGCACTTGTCTCGTGTGGGGCAGATGCTGAGGTTAGTATGTTACAATTCATTCACGCATAATAAGAAACTATGCGCTTGATGGGGCTGTGATTGTTCTTCAATAAATGAATACTCACTTCTATTCTATGGGACCCCTTGGATGTGAAAAGCTTTCCCTTTACAAACGATTGGAAAAAAGACTCGTATCTGATCAGATTATGTTGTCTGTCTGGTCATACGTGAATGATTAGCTTTAGAGTGAGAAATCAGGAAAAATGGAGGAGACGTAGCTGAGGCCCTCACACTACGCTACTCAAAACTAAAAAAAAAAAGTGCACTATGAAATTGACAATTTTAAGCATTCGAATGTTAAATACAGCCTTTACAATCATCTCATAATCAGGAATTTCTGTTTTACAAGTTTATTAACCATTCTTTGTCGTCCAGATTGTTGTGTGGGATTCCATTTGCTGGGAAAAGAAGAAAAGCAGAATGTTGGATATTTCCACCGAGTGGTTCCCATCAAAACTATCAGAGACCCATGTCCAATTCCACCATGACCAAACACTATTCCTTGTTGTACATGAGACTCGGCTTGCAATATATGAAGCAGAAAAACTACAACGTGTGAATGAGGTTTGCTCTCTCTCTCTCTCTCTCACACACACACACACACATGATAAATGACACTTTTTCTCAGTTTGTATGACAGTGCAAATATATATTTTTCAGTGGATTGTTGGAGACTTTCGTGCACAGATCTGCCATGCAACATTCTCATGTGATAGCCAGTTAATATTTGCCAGCTTCCTTGATGGAACAGTTTTGGTATTCAGTGCATCAGATCTCCACACGCGATGTGAAATTAATCCCTCTGCTTACCTTCCAGCTGATATCAGGTTTTTTCAATGCTGCACTTTTGATTTGAGCAATATTTATGGTTCTTTTTCACAATGGCACATATTTTGCATGCGAACGTGACTTTCATGAAGACAAATTTGCCTTAGGTTACGGATACGATTCTAAAAATTTGCGTACATTATTTACAAGGAATTTACTCTATTTTTTCACATGTGATTCAATGTCATGAGCTATTGTCAAATGTTGTAAATGCTATTACTAATCATTGTCTTGAATAATTCCAGTTGATTTACACAGTTAAATGTTCATCCATATTTGCCCAATATAAGTAACTTTTAATACCATTTTTATACTTCTCTAAATTCATCAAGTTCTTCCAAAATTGGATCATTTCCTGATATTTTCCTCTTTGGCTCTTTGACGATATCTTATTTATGGATCCAACTTGTTTTCAAGCTGAAATGATTGTGGCTTCACTTTTATCAACATTCACATTCCTCATCCCACATCTGCAGCCCCCCTCTTTAACTCAGCCTATACTTGAATTCTTCTAAGCTCTAGATAAACATTTTTAACCCCTCGTTTTGGTTGGTGGCTGCAGTTTTAATGCATACCCGCTCGTGATTGCTGCACATCCAAAAGAGCCAAATCAGTTTGCCTTGGGCCTCATGGATGGTGGGGTTGTTGTCATTGAGCCTCTGGAATCTGAAAGTAAATGGTATGCTGCCACAAGTTGACAATGGATCAGTGAAACAAGCCTTTGGTATTTCCATGTCCTCTAGGAGATGCTTGATTGAACAAAGAAGCTGTTATGTATTTCACTGTTGAATGGAAATTTAGCAGCATAAACCGATAAATAAGAGTTTCTTTTTTGGTAAGCCCTGTAATTAAGAACATGATAACCACAAATTACATGATACCAACATTTTTTAAGGAATATAATGGTTAATGGTTTTTCTTTGTGATGCATGAACCATGTACTCTCTTTCTTTGATGCTCCAAATTTGGAATTAGCTGAAATTTACAGGCAGATATATGATCAGAAAAGTAGGAAGTGGTCCTTGCATTTCAACTGCCCCATTGTTAGGTGATTCTGTAGGAAAAGGATTTATGTGACAAAAAAGCTTTACGTTCCTCCAAGCATGTTGAAGTCTAATAGAAAAGCCCAGATCTTACATGCTTGAAATGTTTCTTGTAGAATTTCACCGCAAATATTTTTGGGCTAATGCCTATGTCTTATTATCTTCCTTATATAACATTACTACACCAAATACTTTTCCCAAAGAAAAAAAAAAAACATTACTACCATAAGATCCCTTCAATGCCCCTATAAGACCTCTTGGATAACTCGTGTAGGCTTCTCTATTATGTTCAAACCAGAATTTGGAGGGAAGACATTAGACCATTTTTCAATTCGCGCGTGTCATCCTTACTCTTCTGCGTATCGTTCCATTTCCCCGAGGGGACTGAATGGAAGAGATTGATTGATACATTTTTAGTGATTCAATGATATATTGAGGCAAATTAAAATTGAGAGGCATTTTTGAACCTGGGGTGTAGTTCAAGGGTAACCTAATGGAATTTGCTGCAGATTTTACCTCTACAAATTAGAAGAGATAATGTATGGTGTAACTGAGGTGCATTGTGTGTGATGGACCTGATGTAAGTGGTCAAATTCCCAAAGTGGCCATCTGCCTTATATATTTGTTTTCTCTCTCTTTTTTTTTTTTTTGAGTAGCCAACAGGATAAGCATACAAATTCTTCTCTTTTTATTTTTGTCATGCCAAAAAAAAAAAAAAATAGATATCCGAAAATTAGTTAAAGGAGATGAATGATCCTAACGAAGAAATCAGATGACCAACCCATATAGCCCATTCCATCAAGGCAGTGGACCAATAGCTCAAATCTAGAGCTCGCATTTAGAATTGATTTTTTGCCTACTTCTTGTTGGAACCCCTTAGGCATTAGACAGTATTAGATTGGACAAATACGTCCATATTAGATCCATCCATTTGAACTTTGGATTAATTATAGTGATAATGTTTTCTTATCTTATATTTAATTCAAAAATTTAGTAGTAATGAGCCCTACATTTATCTTATCCTAAAGATTTTTTAGGGTAAAAAATATCTCAAACAAACTATTTAAACCCACAAAATAGGTGAGTTTATTTAAGATGAGTGAATTTAAAAATACTATTCATTTGGGCCGGGAATATTTTTATGTGATAATGTTGAATCCAACGTGTGTATCCAAACAAGAGAATAAATGAAATAAAGTAGGCCAGACATTAATTTGTCCAAAATTCTCTCCGAATGCCTAAACCAAATACATCCTTAATTGTTGAAAATGTTTGTAATATTGAAACTAAATTAAAATGATTGTTTAATTTGGTTATGTTAATCAAATGGTGTTACCATTAAACAATAGTGTTACGAAAAGTAACTTGAATGCAAAATACCCTAGTGAGATCTTTTTTGCAGAATAGATAATTAGAATTTGAAAATTGTATATAAATAGAGTACAGTGAAGAAACAAAATTCATATAACCAACTTAATATAGTTAAAATAAAGAGTTTGTTAAATTGAATAAAATTATGTTGATGATATCAGCAAAATAGCAAAAGATTCGAACCACAAAGGTTCAACCCTCACTAGTGTCTTCCAAACTTAACCGATGATTATAGAGATCCGGAGTTTACTCTCTCTAGTAGGAAAGAGTCCAAAGTAACCTTACCTCAGAAAGGTTTCGCATTAACAAAGAAAAACATAAATAAGTGCAACAAATTTATGGCAAATAAGCCAGCAGACAATCTATAATGAATAAGAAACAATCGAATTATACACACACTACATTTTCCTCCCAAAGACCTTATAGACCAACCATTTAGCTACTCTACCGCAACTGTAAACGATTGAATCCAAATTACGAAGCCCTGCTTCCTCAATGCAATCTTTGACAATAAATTCCCCAAAGAAATCACAAATTATAATGGAAATGGCTTTACAGCCAGAACAATGACGGATTTTAATTCAAAACCAACACTTCCAAGAAATTCTTGTGTTCTTTGCTTCCATAAGCAAACAACTGAAGACGAAGACAACGACCCACAAAGAAACCTGCAATAACAATGCAAAACATGTTTCACTGAGTGAAGGCAAGCTAGTTTGGGACATCAAATTATGTAAATACATTGTGAATACATGCATATGAAGTTGTGGTCTAGAAGCACAAAACCAAGTTGCTAGCCTATTGATTATTCAATGCAGTTAAAACAATTGTATAAAAGAACAATAAAGATAGATCTCAAGGTGTTATCATAAAGGATTCTTAGGAAAAGGAGTATAAAATTCGACAAGCATCAATATGGACATCACTTGAGCCTCTAACCCATCTACCCTTAATCATCTAAGTATTATTTTAAATCCAAATCATCTATATAATAAGGATACATTTACCACCATCTTTTGATGACACAATAACCTGACACCTCTTCCAGATATGATTTTCTCTTGTCACTTACAATTTCCCAATTCTTCTTTCTTTAGAATGCTAACTCTCCAGCGCATTGGGCTCTTCCCCTCACATCAATAGCCATTGCACAAAGAAATCCAGCATTCAAAACAGAGAAGGCTACAATGTCAAATATAGCCAAAAACCTAACTTCTTTCTGCTTTGTCCCAACTGCCACAAAATTCGCAGCCCCCAAAGGGGAAAACGCCTTAATCACCATGTTCCTTCCAAAGAAAGCACAATAGAATCTTCTAATCCCCAGGAAACTTACATAGAAGCAGAAAAAGGTGGCAGCACAGATTAAAGAGAGCTCCCTGAAAGAGTCAAAGTCTACAGCTGCACAAAAACAACATTTTAGGTAGCTTTTTCAGCTTTGGTCCTATATTACAGAACCGCATGCTGAAGTGTAGCTCAAAGATGTACCCAGCCTCCCATTTATGTTGGTTGCGTACTACCAGCCTATGATCAGAACACAGAATGTTGAAACACCCCCTCTTTCCTTTTTTCTGGAAACTCACGGTGATATCCCTCTCATGGGAACACAAAAGGAAAAAAAGATTGTTTAACCAAAATAGAAAATAAGAAAGAAAAAAAAAACCAAAGATAGATGTTAAAAAAATTATTGAGCTTTCTCAACATTTGGCAAAGAAATCTACCCACACAAAGGTCAATACTGAAGATGAAAGAGGGGTAAGGAAAGACGAACAAACCAAGTGAGCAATGGAACCATGAAAATGAATGGAAAGAACAAGTTAGTCAAGCAAATGATATACATGATACATCTAATCTATCAGATAAAATGAACTCAACATTATGCATCTGAACTTAAAAAGAGAACTCGAGATATGTATTTTTAATGCTTCAAATTTGGTTCAGCTTGGTTTACAAATCAATCTTTCTTTATAACATATGTGAGGGACAGCCTCCCATGTGTGTTTTGGGAGGTATAGAGGAGCAGTGCCTGAACTGGTCCGGTTTATGAATTAGACCGCGTGGGCAATTAAATCATCAAAAAACTACAAAACCAGCCGATTTTTTACAAAACCAGTGAACCAGATGGTTCAGATGTCATTTGTTATAAAAACCAAAAAAAATCCTAATTTTGCCCTAAAATCAGTCGATCTATCCACTCCAGTCCACTTCTCCTCTCCAGTCTCCTTCGGTCCTCCTTCTCCAGGCACTGTGAACATGCATCCTTCTCCAGTTGATCTCTCACTGGCCCTCTGCTCCAGCCTCCAGCAGTCCAACTTTCGTCCTCAGCTCAGTGCCTCAGGCTGCCACACAGCCACTCGATCAGTCGATCTAAGGCTTTCTGCTCCAGCCTTTTGTGAGTGAGTGTTGTACGTTCTCTCGATTCACGACGAGTCTCACTCGCTCGGTCAATCTCTGTGTCTCTCTCTTTTCATCCCCTTTGCAGTTTGTTCAAAAGTTGTAATTACTGCTTTTAATTTCATTTAAACATCAACCATGGTTAAAATCGATGAATGAACTGATTTGATCATTATATAAAAACAAACATTTAGTTTCTTTGTTTTCTTTTAACAACAATGCTACATCCATTATTTACCAACTTTTGAATCCCAAATCAATATAAACCATAAGATCAGTAGGTCCCACAAACCCTCACTAGCCATCCAATGGCTATTAATGAGACACATCATTCGGGATTCAAAACAATTTTTGTCATACTGTTTTTCATTTTTAACACAGATGTTTCTATTCTCAACTTAACTTCATTTCTTATATGCATTGGGAACATGTTTAATATTTTGTTAGCTAAATTATTATATTTTATAATTTTTTATTATGTGACCGATCCACACACTTAACCCAGTGGTAGGACTAGTGAACTATTGACCAGGTACCTCTGCCAGTTCAATATGTGGTCCGATTTTGATAACTGTGGAGAAGATAAGGAAACACCCGCAGTAGTCAAGAGGAAACCAGATAAGCTAAGTGTGATGAATACAAAGTCATTGAGATTGATAAGGTGATAAACCACAGGTCTTGCCAGAGTAGTGAAAAAGGAATATACGACACAGAAAACTGAATAAAGAGGAAGAAAAAAAAAATGAAGGAAGCATGAATTGAAAGCGATATTCAGGAAATGGTCAAGTTGAGCTTTTCGGAAGGAGTCTCTCCATGGGAAATAGCATCTGTGGTACAAGACATTAGAGAATTAGCAGGAAGTCTAAGACATAAGTTTTCTTATGTCCCTAGGGTCCTTAATAGAGCTGCCCACTAGGTTGCGAGTTTAGCAAACTCTGGCTCTCTGTCTTGTAACTAGGTCTGTCTGTCTTCCATTGAATTAGGGAGCATCTTGTCATGTGATTTCTCTAGTTCAAATTTATGGGCTATGACCCACTTGTTCAAAAACAAAAAAGGCCATCAAAATCCTTCAGTACTTCTCTAATAAAATAGGCACTTGCTTAGCCCAAAAATCTACGTCAAAGTAACCAAGTCTTGAAATACCAACTCAAAAAGGAAATACCAACCCTAAAGCAATTCAACTTGACAACAAAGTTCATGAGTTATAACAATATCATTATCACCTTCAACACTTAGCAGAGGGCATGCTACAAGATTTGCTTTCAGATATATTACAACCTAGGAAGCACGGATACGGATACGGGAATACGATAAAATCCCAAAATATAGAACACGGGTACGGTGAGGATACAACTAATTAAAATAACATTTTATATTTTATATATATAATAACAACATTAATAATAACTAATAACACCTAGCAAAAATTAATTTTTTTTAATAATTGAAATAGATTAAAGATCCAAAATAAACATCCACCATTTCATCAAATATAATTACATCACATAAATGTATAACAGTATATGCAAAATTAGAGATACACAAAATCAACCCTAAAATGTGCAAACCACAAAAGCAGCAAAATCCAAGAAAAGAAAAAGAAAAAGAACCCAATCTGGAGTTCGATCGAAGTAAATCTGGAGATCTGGAGTTTGATCGAAACAAAACCCAAAACAAACTCGTTGTCGAAGTAGAATTGGAGTTTGATCGAAACCTTCGTCTTCTTTTTCTCCTTTTTTTTTCTTTTCTCCTCTTCTTCTATAACCTTCCTCGATCAAACTGAAAACTGTAGAGTTACAGACTAGGAATTGGGAAGCGATCCCTATTCTTTTTTTTCCTTTTCCAGTCCTAAAACGACTACGTTTCATTTATTTTTATTTTTGTTTCAATTCTCAAAAGTTTTTAAAATAACAAAAGGTAATCTGCCATAACCCCCTCGTCTCCCGACATGTCCCCAACGTATCGGTCACATATCCGAGCAAAAAAAAAAAAAAATCTTTTCTTGTTCAGAACACTTTTAGAGGTGTTGGACCAGTGTCTGGCCGTGTCCCACACATGTCCGACACTGCCATGTCAAACCCCGGCGAGTATCTGTGTGTTTCCTAGAGACATGAATCTGTAAAAACTACAAATGATGTATTCTTATGTTCAAGCTTTAGCATCTCAAGCATAGATACTTTGACTAAGTTGTATTTGGGGACCCTCCTCTTCCCCGAGAAAATATTTCTTTCATTGTGGATAGTTTGTCACAATTTCATCAAAGAGATAGGGTTGTCAACAGGGATCTTTTTAAAGTCACCTTTTTTTTTTGTTATTCATTTATATGATGGCGACAGATGTTTACGGTGGTTAAACCGGTAATATATAGTTATATACTAATAAAGTAGACATTATAAAATTATTTGCTCATGTCCAACACAAATAATAACACAAGTGATTTCCCAAATGTAAATTAGAGTTACCACTATGTCCCTTCAAATACATTGAACTTTCTGGCCATGCTTTGCAATCTCTAAAGAGTATTTTCCCTGAATTTTGTGCCAATCACAGAATTAACACTAGAGTTTTGTTACTACTCCATCGATTTCGAGTAGCTATAGAAGCACCAGCAAAACATATAGGAGAAAATTTGACTCTCTTTATTTGAAGTCAATGGCAAATATTCAGTTCAAGACTTCAAGTTAAGCAACAATGAAAGCTTCAATGTCTTTTAAGGGGGTGAAACAACATATTCACATGTTTCATCCTTGTTCTGTTAGATTTTTTATATTGTCTTATTGGATTTGGAACTAATATATATTTCAACAACTCAATGCAAACGACGAGATGGCTTGAATCTCTTCCATATTTACTACTCAGATGATAATAAGAAAGAGGAAGTAAAAGGATCCTGAACAAGCAAATTTATAAGCTAAGGATTACCTGCTTTAGCTGACAACCACATTGCCATAGGGCAATGAAAGCACGATACGCCGCTTCCTACCACTGTTTCTAACAAATCACCAATCATAAACAAAATACTCAAACATGCTCCAAGATGGAATGAAGTTTTGGAGCCCGCCGACGAAACAATGGTTCTAACCGAAAAGATGGAACACCATTCTGCCACCTTTTAGCATCATACATCTCATTCCATGCCTGCACTATCTCATCAATTTTGAACCCTAGACAGCAGTGGTTGGACGATGTCAATACTTTGAGATTTAACTAAATTGACAAGAAAACATATAAGAAAGAATATCAATAAAGAAAATTTTCTGTCTGTCTATATTTACCTTCCAGTGCAGTTTCATTGGAGTAGTGGTTCTTTATCATAACAGCTACATCTGTTGGAGATGCTCCAGCAAGTTCAAACTTTTCAACTGCAACCTCCAAACATTCTTCCCAAGTCGGTAAACCCAACTTAAATTCCACAACAGAACGTTCATAAAGCAAGGTACCCCATAGAAGGTATATCAGAGACCTTGTGTTCACAGCCTGCTCTGCAGCTTCATCAGGAGATATATCTTTAAGTAGACCGTCCAACCCCATTTTTGTCAGGTCCGCTTTATATTTATCTGATTTGGAGAGTCCATTAAGACGCTGCTCCTCCATCTCTTCCCACATCTGCATGCTTCTCTCCATGCTATCCTCAGACTTATTATATAGCTCCAGTACCTGTGCAGAAGGTCCTGTCTCTAAATCAATGTTGCTTCCTACTGCATAATACCAAGAGAGTTTTGCTTGTTCAAACTGCTGATGCCCAAGTGCGAGAAGGCCTTCATAGAAGTCTGGTTTGATCTTTAGAGCTTCTTCATATTGTATACCTGCCGTGGCATATTCTTTTTGGGCCCATTCATAAGCAGTTTTTACTTGAGCGAGTACTGATTCCCGTGAACCATCTTCGGTAAAGAACACCCGCTTCCTTGCCCTGGACAAGTGAACATTTCCCCAGTTTAGCAAGGCTAAAGCAGCCATCTCTTGGAACTTAGCTGCAGCAATTTCAAAAAGTTCTTGAGCATCTTCACTTGTAACAGTGTCCTCCATTGCTTCCGAGTATAGCTTCATCCCTATCTCATGAAGATCCAAGTAGGAATCACAATCGATACCAACATGGTTCCTAAACATCTGTGCAAACTGGATTACCCATTCCTCTACACTAGAAGGCCCCTTCTCCACTTCTCCACCTATCTCCATATACCCATTCTCAGTCACATTAGTTGGTTTACTGGTGACTTTGAGCACCTCCACCTCATTGCTCATACCATCATAATGTGGTTCGTCATTCGGACTAACTTCCGCAACATACAATCTCAAAGAACCCCGAGGATCACCTGATGCTTCAGCCAACCTCAACTCATCCGTTGTTGTGATTGTAACCAAGTCACCTTCTTGATCCCTATACTTGATAAGCACTCCTTTCGAGCTTGGAAATCGATCCCTAACTATGTCCCTCACTAGTCGAATGCCACAATTGACAGGTAATTGTGCCCATCTTATATCCTCTCCAAACACCAGTTTCACTGTCTTTGTGACTACTTTTTCTTCTGTTACACTCCTCTTCTCCTCCACAACCACCTTATCATCAGCCTTCCTTTCCTCTTCTTCCTCAACCTTCTTTTCCTCTTCTTCCTCAACCTTCTTGTCCTCAACTTCCTCAACCTTCTTCCTCTCCAATTTATTGCTCTTTTTCTTCTTTGCTTTGTCTTTCATAGCCTTGTTTGAAGGTGGTGGACTTGGCTCAACATATTCAGGGGACAGAAGAATTTCTTTGTCTTCAACATTGACCGCCTTTTGCTCAAGTGCCTTTTTGACCTTATCAGCAATCTCCAATGCAGTCAAATTATTCGGTTCCATACTCAACACATTATTAACATCTCTCAAAGCCAAATCAAACCTATTTAGAGCCTCATAACATTTTGCCCTCTTCAATAACGCTTTGCTATACTTCGGGGCAACTTCAAGTGCCAAATTGCATTCATTTATAGCTCTTGGGTACTCACCAAGACCCATTTGCATATAGCAAGCAGCCATGTTACTACGCAAATATGCAACATCAATATGATTTCTAGGAAGCAATTTGAGGGCTTTTTCATACTTTAACATTGCACCCTCATGATCGCGCTTTTGAAATAATTTATTCCCTTCTTCCTTCAGTTCTTGGGACATGTTGATGAAGACAGCAGTGTCTTCATCAAATGCTTTCGAAGTACGATCAGAAACTTTGCCATGCTTGACATCTACATCACCTGGTTTTGACCCAACCTGATTTTTCTTCTTCCCAGTAGGCTTCCCCATCTCCAATCAAATAATTCGGCTGCAAAACCCCAAAATCAAAGGTTACATAACTTATTGTTTGTTTTTCAAACCAAAACCCACCTCACAAATACAGTAAACTCCACATCAATCAATCAGACAACAATTTTCAAGAATTCTTAATCTTTAAATAAATGAAAAAAAAATCAAGTTTGTTTGTTTCCTAATCAAAACCCACCCCACGAATTTATTCGGTCAAGCATAACATCAAACAAAGATTACTCTTAAATGTCTCTCACTCTGCAAATGAGTCATTTTAATAAATAAAAAAAGAAAGAAAGAAATCCAGAAAACATTAAAAGAAAAACACAGAAAACAAATAGAAAAATAAAAGAAAGAAATCCAGACCTTATTAGCTCCAATACACCTCTCTAAAACACAAACTGTCTCTCTCTCTGTCTGTCCACCCTTTCTGGTTTGTCTCTGCAAAACTTTCTACCTCTAAAGAAGTAGAAAGTTTGATTAAAGCTAATAAAAGGTCGGGTTGTGGGAAGAGAATGTCGGTGATGACGGCTTCCAATGAAGAGAAGAGGAAAGGTTGATGGGAAAAGGCCAGATAGCTCATTTCTCTCTCTCTTCTAGGGCTTCTGCCGGCCAGCGTAGAACGTCAACGAACGCCCCCATTCCATGCTGACCGTTAAAGCCCCACTCTCAGGTAATGCGCGTTCGTTCACACTTCCTATACTTATTGGGGTCATTTGGTTATGGTTTGTTCTTGCCAATCCTAAAATAATTATGATTCAATTATATAGGGAACATATTTGTAAATAAATTGACTAATATGATCATAATAATTAAATTCTCAAATTATGTATCAATAATATTGCTTATGTGGGTTTAAATAACACCACGTGCATGGTGCTATTTTTGATAATAACTGTAGTTTCAAGCCTGACTTATCTTTCTTCAATCCCTTATCTTTCTAATTCTGACAACTCAAACGGCTCCATTTTGCATTGTTTTTCGAGTGGTGAGGAAATAATTTCTTCTCTTTTTATTTTTCTTGTTTCCTTAAATGATATTGATGATTTTTGTAAGAGGCAAGACATGTGGATACCTCCTACAGGAAATGAGAATGGACGTTTTCTGATCAAAGTGAGCTCTGAACTTGATCTCCCAGTCTTTCCTTCCTGTAAAATGAACAAATTATTCAAGATTGAAGTGTTTCGATCAAAGGCACTCCGATGTTTAAGTCAGTAATGAAACTGAGACAATTGCAAAAAGACAAGGAGAGTTCAACGTACCTTTCACCTTAGCTTCTTATGCCTTTTATAGATCCATGTTTACTTAGGGTTTCCATGATTTTCAATTCAAGGATGTACACTTTCCTTCAATCAGGTGATTTTGTTTAGGAAATTGTTGAGATCTCTATAACAATTCTTTCCGCCGAGCCTATGATCATGCTTATTCATTTAACCAAAATGCCTTTGTTACTGGCATCTTTTTAGCATTCCCATTTACTGTTTCAACAAATCGGTCATGACGAGGACCAAACTCTACTCTTTGTTACCGAGCTTATTGAATGGCTTGGCTTTGATCTGTCTTTCTCACGTGATTGGTCTTGTTATCCTCACATGGGATCATTTAATGTAATTGTACGTGTCATAAAGGGAGCCACCCCTTCATTTGCCCTCAGGAAACGTCTGACAAACGTTTCATGCCCCCAAACTCATTATTGGGCGTACTTTTGGGACATCTCCCCTTTTTTTGGTGCGCATGTTTTGTATTTAAATATTGCCTTTTAGAATTCCCTCCTTATAAGCGACTTCCTTCATTCCTTTCTTCACTTTGTCTTCCCTAGCTTCAGACTTCTTTACCTCTTTTTGCTCCTTCATTCTCTGTTGTTATGGCTCCTCTTACTCCTCTTGAGATTCCTACCTTCAAAGTCAAATACAATATTCCAGACGACGTCGACATACGAGTTGCTGGTAGTGATGAGTCTTTGATAGGCACCAAAGAGAACATCCCAATCCACACCCGAGCTATAATAGAAGGTGGAGTTCGCTTTCCCCTTGATCCCTTGTTTCTCTGGGTGCTAGTAGCAATGAAGTTGTGCCCCATCCAATGCTGCCCCAACTTCTTCAGAATATTGATGAGGGTAGCTGCTTTGAACAGACTTCTGAACTTGAGCCTCAGATTATGGGAGATTTTGTAATGTTACATCGTCAAGTCGATTGGAGACAACTACTACCTTGCTGTGGGAAACAAGGATCGTTACTTGGTGACCCATCTTCCAGACTCCAACAAAGACCATGAGAATGATGTGATCTTTGTCTCTGGGAATTGAGAGTACACTGCTAAGGCCACTTCTTCCTATCGATGCCCATATGAGGAAGGCGCACCAGGTGGTTGTGGTTTTTACTTCATTTCTTGTTTTCTTTTTTTAGCAATTTTGCTCACATTGTTTTATTTTTTGAAGGTGAAACTGTGAAGGGAAGGATCCATGATCGGGCTGTCAAGATGAAATAACTGAAGAGAGTGTAGGAGTATAATGATTCACTTTTTTGCTGGACTGCTCATACTCTGATCAGATACATTCTCACATATATATCATTCATTGTTGTTCCACCCCGACCCAATTTTGCCCTTGCCAAAGACTGCCAAGCTATCCAATCTGCTCGAGACTAGACCCCTCACCAACGCAAACGTCCTTTGACTGGTCCTTCTGGAAGAAATAGGACGGTCAAGAACTTTCTTGATTTTTTGTCTATTGTCGAACCAGACGCCATTGTCGAACTGAGTGTGCTAATTGATTCTCTTGCTTCTTTCATTCCTGGACTTGTAGAGGAGCCTACTCCTGAAGTCTCTGTTGAAGTTGCAACTCTAGAATCGAACAACGTGGTTTTTCCATAAGATGACCCGACTGATTTGGTTTGGAACCACAGAGTCTTTTGTTCCAATTGAGCTCGATCCTCCAATTTCTATTCATTCCCCTGACAACCAAGCTGATTCAATTTTTGAACTTTCTAAAAACCCTGCCCCAAAAAGACGTAAAGTTGCAGAGTCTGACGCAGCACCTTCCACCATGCCTACTACTCCTCTTTTCCGACATGTTCTTAAAACAAAAGGGAGAGAGATTATGGTGAAGGACTCTACTGCTGAAGATTTTAACGTCACAGTAGGGATCGCTAGGGGGTAATTCTTCCTCGAGACTTAGCCACAAATGAGGCTTTGTCTGATGATGAAATAACTCGCCAAGCAATTCAACAGATGGTTCTGGTACTTCTCTTCTTCCCTTTATCTTTATTGTTAAGAATAACTCTTGTCCAACCTTCTCATTTTTTCTTTTAATTTGTAAGGGCTTCAAAAAGTTTATGAGGTGGGGGCAAGGATAGAAAGGAAAGATAAAGCTATGAAAGACATTATTCATACCCAAGCCTCTGCCTTGGCGAAGAAAGAATCCGTGGATGAAGAGTATTCCAAGCTCTGTGAGGAAGTCTCGGTTCTTCAAGCTCAAATGCATAGCCTGACCGAAGCAAACAAGAAACTTTCAGTAGAGATTGAGAAGTTAAAAGAATCTAAACATGAAGTAAATGTGAAACTTTCCCAAGCCCCGTTTGATCACGCTAGTCTTCTAAAAGAGTTTGACCATTTTAAGGCTGAGGCAAAGGATAGAGAGGACGCTACATATGATGAAGGAATGGAGAAGGCGGTGAGTGATTTGGCTTTGCAAGTCTCATTGCTAGAGAAGGCACACTTCAACAAGGGCTGGCATGCCGCCCTGACTGCTGAGCTTTACTCTCGTCATTCTCTTCCTAGTTCCTGCCAGTCCCTTTCTTTCTGAAAACACTTAGAAAATTTATGTTCTTCTTGATGTATATGTTTGACAACTTCTTGGAATGATGCTGTAATTTTTTGAAGTGTAATGAAAGTTTCATTTCCTGGTTCTATGTTTTTATTTCTTCTTTGGTTTCTGTGATTTGTTCGAAGATAAAGGATTGCTCAAATCCTTGTGGCCTCTACTTGGCCTTTCTTTCCTTAAACTCGGTAACAACATAAGGACTTATTATACTTAGAAAAGTTTTAAGCCCTAGAAGTTGACCTAGCTTGGCCTTTCTTCAAAGAGCTCGGTCCCTCAATGGGGACCTTTAAATATTTAAAAAAAATTTAGAGAAAAGTTTTAGGCTCTTGAAGTTATGGCCTTGACTTAGCACTTCTTCAAAGAGCTCGGTCCCTCAATAGGGACCTTTTAAATACTTAGAAAAGTTTTAGTCTCTTGAAGTTATGGCTCTTGTTTAGCCCTTCTTCAATGAGTTCGGCCCCTCAATAGGGACTTTTAAATATTTAGAAAAATTTTAGACTCTTGAAGTTATGGTCTTTGCTCGGCACTTCTTCAAAGAGCTCGGTCCCTCAATAAAAAGTTGTACTCTTGAAGTTTTGGCCTTTGCTCAGCCCTTCTTCAATGAGCTCGATCATCTGGTAGTATTAGGCTCTGACCTCCTAGGCATTTTCAGAGAGTGCTTCTACCCCACACCGACCCGCCAATCTAATCGGGCTCAAATCCATCCCAAATCTAAAGGACTGGATCCGATCGGGTGGTTGCACCTGATTTAAGTTTACACTCTTATCAAGATTTTTTGCCTCTCTGTCGTAGTAGTAAGACGTATTCAGTAATGAAAACAGAAAAATATATCTTAAGAACTTTTATTTATACTCTTATCAGTACATCATAGAGGACTTGCTAATAATGAATCACTCTTACTGAATCTTCAAGATAAGGGGCACCCTTATGTTCCCGAAAGCACTTAGGAGTTCATATTCCAAAAATGTACTTTTTAGTAATAGAACTTTCTTAGGTTGATAGAGTACCAAGAGCGCGGTACCATTTTATGGTCCAAGGTTTCGAGCTCATAATTAAGGGTGTTCAAATTTTCGACTGACCTCAATTTTCTACCCTACCCTACTTAACGACTAGCCACAAAAATCGAGTAGGAATACGGAAGAGTTTTTGGTCTTCTGATTAAATCGGGTAGGAATGCGGAATACCCATCAATTTCTGCATTTCTATCCTACCCTACCCATAAAAAATATATTATATTTTTTTTAGTAATTATAAGAGTATTTGTGTGATATAATTTATATTATAACATTGTTATTGTTGTGGATGTTTGAGTCGCTAAAACATGGACTTATTTTTTGTGTAGGTTACATGATTTGTGGTGAACTAGTGATCTATTGAAGTAATTATGATTTTAATGTGTTTTATATGATTTAAATTTAAAATAATTGTTATTATATTTGTGTAACAATTATGATGGATTGATGTTCATGCTTTCTTGTGTTTTATTGTAATTGTTGTTATAGTTGTTTTAAGTTTTAGTGTTATTAATTTATTATATTGTTAAATTGGTGTATGTTATTTAATTGAATTGTTAAAATGATCCAAAAATTAATAGCTACAAAAATATTTACCCAACTTCCTACCCGATTAAGTTT